CCAGCCCACCTTGCAGGGCTGTTGTTGAGGGGGAAAGAGAAAGCGAGCCTGGGGGAATTTGGTGTAGTGCCTAAGGTGCTGGCCTAGAAACCAGAGGCACGAAAGCCGGCTGGGTGACTTTGGGCCCACCACTCCTCTCAGTTCAACCCACCTCACAGGGTTGTTGTGGGAAAATAGGAGGAGGAAGGAACATGGTGTACATTCACCACCTTGAGTTATTAATAAAAACAATAAAGGCAGGATACCCATCTGATAAATAAGATAAATCACCCTGGACTCGCATACAATAGGTGGGATGCATCTTCTATCCAGCCAATAAAAGATGCAGTTTTGCAGCGGGGGAGGGTTGGCCTCGCTTTCCTTCCCTAGAAGAAATCCAGGGAAAATCTCCACCCCACCCCACTTGCAAATTCTTGGCTCCCAGGCGTTGGGCAGTTGGCAGCTCAGCCCCCGCCAGGAATGCTGGTGGGCGAACTTTCCTGGCAGTGAAAAGGAAGTTAGAGCTCCCTCCGTGGTTCTTTGGCCCTCTCTGTGCACACACTCACACACACACGGGGGGGGGGGGAGAGGGGGAGGGATAGAGAGAAAGAAAGAGGAGAGTGGAAGGAGAGAGAAAGAGGAGAGAAAGAAAAGAGAGGAGAGAAAGAGAAAAAGAGAAAAAGAAAGAGGAAAGAAAGCGCCATCATAACTTTGAACGGTCATTAAATGAATGGTTGCAAGTTGAGGACCACCTGTTTAATTAATATTTATATTAATATTTATATGTTACTCATATGTAAGGGTGAAGCTCTATACATGTAGATAATATGTTTTAAATGGGTGTTATGCATGTGTACACTTTGAGAGCAAGCAACTAAATTTCATTTTTAATGACAATAAAGGTTATCTAATCTAATCTGACCCGTCCTGGTTGGGGAGGAGCAGAAGCAGCCGAGTGGAACACCTGGAAGGAAAGCTAGAAATAAAAAAGAAAACCCAGAAACGGGTCCAGCCTGACGAAGCATTTAATCTGTATAATTGTAAATCCAGCACAGGATTTTGCTGGCTCCGCTTAGTGGCCATTTTCTCCACCCCCTTTGCTTGCCGGACGTCAACTGAGGAGGGTCACAAATGGCGATCACAAGATCCCTGGATGCTGCCACCATTGTAAATACATGCCGGTTGCAAAGAGTGAATTTTGATCATGTGACCGTGGGGATGCTGCGATGGTCATAAGTGCGAGGACTGGGTGTAAGTCCCTTTTTTTCAGTGCTGGTGTAACTTCGATCGGCCGCTAAACAAATGGCTGTAAATCAAGCACCTTTTACGTCCGGAATCCGTTGTAAAACATCCAGAAAACCTGCAAGTCCTCGTATTTGTGCCAATGGGATAAAAGAGCCCTGAATTCTAGACAGATTTCCCGTTCTCTGAAACAGATCAAACACCTGCAATACACACGAACGCACAAAATGCGTGCAGTCCTCAACGTATGACCACAACTGAGCCCCCAATTTCTGTTGCTACGCAAGACGGTCGTTAAACGAATTTTGCCCCATTGTCACAGTTGTGAACTGAATCACTGCAGGGATTAAATTAGTAACGTGGTGGTTAAGCAAATTGCCGCACCCGTTAAGGTAGTAAACACGGACGTTAAGTGAATCTGGCTTCTCCGTTGACTTTGCTTGCTCAGAAGGTCTCAAAAGAGGATCACGTGATTCCCTGGAACACGACTGCGACCGTCATAAATACGAGTCAGTTGCCAAGCGTCCGAATTTTGCTCACGTGACCCTGGGGATGCCGCAACGGCCGAGGGAAAAACGGTCCTTTTTTCGGTGCCGTTGTAACTTCAAACGGTCACTAAACAAATGGTTGTAAGTCGAGGACTGCCTTTAAGCACTGCACCATTAAATAAATTGCTCGTTTTCAGATCACAGTTCTACTAAGCTAATCCATAACTGGAGGCCTACGTCTCACACCGCCGGCCAAGCCACAGCTGCCCAAACTCGTGGTCGCATCTCCGAAACAGACCTGCGCAGGGGACTCCCGAGAGACTGTCGGGAACCTGAGAAAGATCAGACCAGATCCGGATGCTTTGCAACTCATATTTTTCCTGACCTTTCGCCATAAAATCCTCTTTGGGGATCCCCCTGCGCCTTCCTCATTTCAGGATGCGCAGACTCATCTTCCGCTCAATATTCAGCTTTTCCACCGACTGCAAAAACAGCAGAGAGGGAGATTTAGGAAAACGTCCTGCCCTGTTGATGTGAGTACAGGCAGTCCTCGCCTTACGACCACAGTTGAGCCCAACGTTTCTCTCTATGGAATGAAACTGCTGCCTCCCCCTCCCCAGCCTCTCTGCAACACCCCCCCCTGAAATTGTCAATTTATTTTTGTCTGACAGACCTTGGCGAACTCCTCAAAGGAGATCGCGTTGTCTCCATCTCTGTCGGCCTCCTGGATGGTTCGGTCCGTGATATTCTCCAGTTGGTCGTTGGTCACCTGGATGCCCACCATCATTCTCAAGACCTGGGTGCGAACGGAGACAAGCACAAGCTGAGTGCAGCCAGAGGGGTTTGGGAGGGGGGGTGGATTCCCACCCCTGGATCATCTCTTGACAAAGGCCAAACTTGGATTTTACCGGGAAGGACCGACCCTCGGTTAAGAAGAGGTCGACTCTGGCAAGTTAACCGTTTACCATTTTCACAGGGGTGAATTTGAACTCAGAACTGCCACTATCTGTTTTTCACTGCAAGGGGAGAATAGAACACGGCTGCTCAGCAGAGGCCCGGCGTGTTCTTTTCGCCAGAGGCATCGGCAGAGAGCATCTAGGGTAGATCAGGGATTCTCAACCTTGGCAATTTGAAGACGGGTGGACTTCAACTCCCAGAATTCCCCAGCCAGCTTAGCTGGAATAATAGGGTTGGGAGGGACCTTGGAGGCCTTCTAGTCCAGCCCTCTGCTCACGCAGGGAACCCCATCCCGTTCCATACAGATGGATGTCCAGCCTCTTTTTGAAAACCCCCACAGATGGAGCACCCACAACTTCTGTTCCACGGATTAATTGTTCTCACAATTACAGAAATTCCTCCTTAATCCCAGGTTGCTTCTCTCCTTGATGAGTTTCCATCTGTTGCTTCTTGTCCTGCCTTCAGGCCAGGGCTTTGGAGAATAATAGATCAGCCAGCAATTACCTGCAGCATTTCAGCCCGGGAGATCTTCCCATCCTTATCTTGGTCGTATAACTGAAAAGCAACTTTGCCAGAATCAGAAAAAGCCAAGAATTAGAACCGAGGATGACAGTCAGAAGATTAAAGAACTGGAACTACGATGCCAGCACTCATAAGGCTGAGTTTGTTTGTTTTATTTATTATTCATTTGTTCGTTCCTTCGTTTTATTCATTTTTATAAATAATTCAAGGCAGCGAATGTACTTAACACTCACACTTCAGCTTGCTAAGGCGGCTGTTGATGTCCTCGGGGTTGCCGGGGGCTTCGACCGGCCGGAAGTGAGCCAGCACCCGAGCAAAAGAGCGGAAGTCGGCCTCCTCACCCCTGGGGGAGAACAAGACCTGGCATTTTTCTGGGGTCTTTCTAAGGACGTTCCTCATCCATGGACATTTCCGGATGAAATAATTAGTAGAATAAGAATAGAAGGGAATGATCTTTTCTGACTACAAGCAAGCTACAGAGAGCAAACCGGACTCCCTTCCAGAAACATAAAAACAACCAAGCTCAAAGAGCACTAAGGACCCCCCAGTCCTGCTCCTCCTCCTCCTCTCTGCAAAGTCCACTCCCTTCTAGCACTGATGATGTTACCTAATCAGATCACGAAACGTCTGCAAGAACACCACCAAGCCCAGAGGGCACCAAGGACCCCTTAGTAATCCTCCTCCTCCTCCACCACCACCATCGTTCCTTCCCTTTAGATCAGGGGTAGTCAACCTTGGCTCTTTTATGACTGGTGGACTTCAACTCCCAGAATTCCTGAGCCAGCTTAGCTTGAAGTCCACGAGTCATAAAAGAGCCAAGGTTGACTACCCCTACTTTAGATCATGAAACATCTGTAAGAAAACCACCAACCTCAGAGAGCACCCAGGACCCCCCAATCCTTCCTCCTCCTCCTCCTCCTCCTCTCCACAACCCCCCTCCCTTATAGCCCTGAAAGCCAAGCTCAAAGAGCACCATGGACCCCACAGTTCAGCCCTGAGCTACAAAGAGCCCCTCCTCTTGCTACTTAGCCTGGCTGCCCAGATGCTCTTTCTCTGCCTGCTGGCAAACAAAAGTGGGTGGACGGTGAATCAGAGTCCACTTCCTCCGATTAGGGCAGGGCACAAGGAAGAGGGCCAGCCATTCCCAGCCCCTCCTCCCTGGCTGGCCTTTGGAGGCTGCTCCCCACGCACCCGTCCGGGAAGAAGGCGTTGATGATGCGGTCTCCGATGGGGTTCACGGCCAACTCCCCGATCCCTTCCAGATCGTATCGGCTAGAGAGAGCGAAAGAGAAAAAACTGACTTTATGGCAACAGCTTAAGGCAGGGCTCTCCCACCTCGGCAACTTTAAGACCTGTGGACTCCAACTCCCAGGATTCCCCAGCCAGCTTTGGAACTGAAGCCCACGGGTTTTAAAATTGCCAAGGTTGGACCCCGATGGCTTAAGCCTTAAGCCAGTGGTTCTCAACCTTTTTAATGCCGCGACCCCCAACCGGTCGTAAGTCGAGGACTAAACTGGTCGTAAGTCGAGGACTAAACTGGTCGTAAGTCAAGGACTACCCAACCGGTCGTAAGTCGAGGACTTTCCCTGCCCGGGAGTGCCGCGCATGCGTGGTTCCGCCCCCTGCGCCGGCCGAGGCGTAGCTGGCAAGCGGCAGAGACGGAGCAGGCCGACCACCAGCTGGCCCAGCCCAAGGGAGGTAAAGCACCCGCCGGAAAAGGGGGGGAAAATGGCGGACAAAAAAAATGGCGGACAGCCTTGCTTGGCGACCCCCGTGAAATGGTCGATCGACCCCAAATGGGGTCGCGACCCATAGGTTGAGAACCGCTGCCTTAAGCTGTACATACACATTAGAATTAATTGCATTTTCTAATATGTTCCACTGTTTTGCTCAAAGGAGCTCCAGGGTGGGACCTGGACCCACAAATAATCAAACACAGATGTCCATTTGTCATAATAAATAAAACTGAATAAAGTTTCCTGTTTCCAAAACAAAGAGGTATTTTGAGATGCTTATCTAAAATCAGCTTCCTTAATTCTGCCTTCTTCTGGAATCTCCTGTTTTCCTGCTGATTACTACCTGCTGCGAAGCCTTTGTTTGCAGCTACCCTGGTGGGCTTGTTTTGGGAGACTGGCTGAAAATACAGCTTCTTTCCAGCGGCCTCAATTTACAGGGCAAGATAAATAAGGCCGGACCCTTTCCTGGCTCTGCCTCCCCTTCCCACTTACTTCAGGTAGCCCTTCTCCTCCCTGTCCAAGGCCTGGAAGCGCTGGTGAAGGCGGGCAAGGCTGGCTTCGGAAACTGGGCGAAAAAAGAGCGGATTTAATGATTAATTGCAGGAAATCCTGGCAGGTTATTTTGACCTTGCAACTGCTGAGAGTAAAGCAGCAACGGACTTTGTGCGGATTACAAGTGTTGATTTAGGGAGGGGGGGCTTGGTTTGCAAGGGGGGGGAAAGCGAGCCTGGTTGGATGGGGGGGGCATTTGCTCTCTGCATGAGGGGTAATAGGGGTGTGGGTGTGTTGGGGAGGGGGGAGATAGGGAGAGAAGGTGCCGGTTCAGGTGGACCTTTTGCTGGGGGGCAGAAGCGGGCCAAGGGAGAGGGGGGGTCAGGCCCGGATGGGGGGCAGGAGAGTCCTCCCAAGCGGGCAGGTAACCCCCTGGGAGACAAAGTAGCCCAGGCGGGCTTAAAACTAGTGGAAGGCAACCTCCCGCCCCCTCCCCAGCTCTGCGTCACCCCCCCAAATGACAACCTGATTCCCCCCCCCCAGATGTCCGTCCGTCCGGTGCAGCGAGCCGGGCCCCCGCCCCAGTCAGCCCTTCTCTCCCCGGCTGGGAAACTTCAAAGCTGGCGGGGGGGGGTCGAGAAGAAGAACCGCGACCCCCCCCTTGGCCGAGGCCGGCCGGGACCCCCGCCAGGCGAAGAAGCAGCCCCCCCCCGCCGGGGTCGCCGGAGACTCGGCCTTGGGGGAGGGGCGCAGGGGGAGGGAGGCGGTCCTATCACAGAGGGGGAGGGGGCCCCAGCGCCTCCGCCCGCCCCCTCCCCTTCCCCAGGGAGCCACAAGTAGCCGGGACCCCCCCGACCCGACTTTGCCAACACCGCCCCCCCCCCGTGCCCAGCCTTTCTGTAGGACTCCACCGCCCAGCGGGCGCAGCCAAGGGGGGCGCTGATACCCCTGGGCTCCCCTCCCTCTGGGGGCCCCGCGGAGCCCCCCACTCCGCCCCCTCCCCTCCGGAGCCCCGGCCGGCGCGCTCTCCGCCCCCGCCCGAGCCCCCGATTCGGCCGCAGCTCGGCTCTGCCGCGGATGATGGGCGTTGGAGTGCCGGCGGCGGACGAGCGGGAGCCCGGGCGCGGGGCGAGGGGCGGCCTTCCGCGGCGGGCAGCGCCTTACAGCCGGTCTCGGCCATGATCGCCTCCTGCTCCGGGGTCGGCCGCTGCTGCTGCGAGCCCTGCGCGCCCATGGCGACCCCCGGCCTGGGCGAGGCTTCGGACCGGCCCGGGAAGCGGAGGCGTCGCCGCGGGGTCGGGTCGGGTCGGGGGGCGGCCGGACCGCCCCGCCCCGCCCCGCCCCGCTTGGCTCCCGGCCCCGCCAGGCTGAGCCCGGCTCCAGTGTAGGGCCGCCCTCCGCCTGCGGGGCTCCTGCGCCCCCTTGGGGGGCTCCGCTGGCGGCTCCGGGGTGGGGGTCGCGTGGAAGGAAACGCGGGATCCGGCCCGCGGGGCAGCCCTGCAGTCGGGGGGAGGGGTCTTCTGGGGGGGGTTTCACCCCTGGGGGGTGGCTGGAAAGAGGGCGCCTCCCAGCCCACAAGTGAGACGGGGGGGGGGTGTTGAAAAACAGGGGTTGCCGGAAGAGATCCGTGGTTGGGGAGGGGGTCTTTGCCCCTCCCCCAGGCTGGTGACTGTGGGCAAAGTTTAGGGAAAAGTTGGATAATTCTAAAGAGGGTGGAAGAAAGTGGAAGAGGAAGAGAAGGTAGATATCCCCCCTCTCTGTAGCACTGAGGATGTTACCTAGTTTGGTAATGAAATGTCTGCAAGAAAACCAAGCACCAAGGACCCCCTCCCCAGTCCTCCTCCTCCCCCTCCTTTTCACACACCCCCTCCCTTCTAGCACTGATGATGTTCCCTAGTTGGGTCATGAGATGTCTGCAAGAAAACATCCAGCACGGAGAGCACTCAGGACCCCACAGAATTGCACTGGATGCCCTGATGGGGTTAACTCTTCCCACAAGCCACAACAGAAGACAACCCTTGTTCTTGGATTAACAACTGGGTTGGTTAGAGAGGAGGCGGAAGTCTCACTTTCGAAAAGGTGTGTGACCAAAAAACACACGCAGGAACCATTTGCTCAGCTAAGTCATTCCCAGCAGCGGGATAAGTGAGTGGCCTGGAGAAGGCTAAAAAACTTGCACACCATTTACACCAAATCTCTGAACAACTTCGACTTAACCTCATGTGCCCAGCCACCCACTCCGCCACACGGCAGGCAATCAGAACAGAAAAAATATCAGACAGTTTGCATCTTGCGCAAAATAGATATTTTATATAACTTTCTTTTGCGAGAAAACACATTTTTAAAAAACCCACACAGAATAGTTACAGAAGCTGGGAAAAGATACATCAACAGAACACATAAATATACACAAAAACAACATAAATATATAATTATCTCCAGGAGGATTTTCTTTTTTTATACTGTACAATATTTTTGTTTGTTTTTAAATTAAAAAGAAATATAGGGGAGGGGGAGATAATTTAAAAAGAACTGCTGCCCTCCTTGGGATTTTATAAAAATTCTTGATTTTTAACATCCGAGGCTGCACATTTAAATTTTTTTGAAATAAACCAAAAAGGCAGCTGCCACGGGGATTCAAATTAAATTAAGATGACTCTGTTGCTACATAAGCGATGCTTTAAACGTAGGATTCTGTCTCTTCATACTTCAGTTTTCATTCCAAAAAATGCTCATTCTTTTAGGGGAAAAAAATCTCAACTTTTCTATAACTGGTGAAAGGAAAATGGTAAGGTCCCTTCTCAAAAAACAAAACAAAACAGCCCCAAAATGTTGAAACAAAATCAGCACAATGGANCCCTGGGGGGTGGCTGGAAAGAGGGCGCCTCCCAGCCCACAAGTGAGACGGGGGGGGGGTGTTGAAAAACAGGGGTTGCCGGAAGAGATCCGTGGTTGGGGAGGGGGTCTTTGCCCCTCCCCCAGGCTGGTGACTGTGGGCAAAGTTTAGGGAAAAGTTGGATAATTCTAAAGAGGGTGGAAGAAAGTAGAAGAGGAAGAGAAGGTAGATATCCCCCCTCTCTCTCTGTAGCACTGAGGATGTTACCTAGTTTGGTAATGAAATGTCTGCAAGAAAACCAAGCACCAAGGACCCCCTCCCCAGTCCTCCTCCTCCCCCTCCTTTCCACAACCCCCCCTCCCTTCTAGCACTGGTGATGTTCCCTAGTTGGGTCATGAGATGTCTGCAAGAAAACAACCAGCACGGAGAGCACTCAGGACCCCACAGAATTGCACTGGATGCCCTGATGGGGTTAACTCTTCCCACAAGCCACAACAGAAGACAACCCTTGTTCTTGGATTAACAACTGGGTTGGTTAGAGAGGAGGCGGAAGTCTCACTTTCGAAAAGGTGTGTGACCAAAAAACACACGCAGGAACCATTTGCTCAGCTAAGTCGTTCCCAGCAGCGGGATAAGTGAGTGGCCTGGAGAAGGCTAAAAAACGTGCACACCATTTACACCAAATCTCTGAACAACTTCGACTTAACCTCATGTGCCCAGCCACCCACTCCGCCACACGGCAGGCAATCAGAACAGAAAAAATATCAGACTGTTTGCATCTTGCGCAAAATAGATATTTTATATAACTTTCTTTTGCGAGAAAACACATTTTTAAAAAACCCACACAGAATAGTTACAGAAGCTGGGAAAAGATACATCAACAGAACACATAAATATACACAAAAACAACATAAATATATAATTATCTCCAGGAGGATTTTCTTTTTTTATACTGTACAATATTTTTGTTTGTTTTTAAATTAAAAAGAAATATAGGGGAGGGGGAGATAATTTAAAAAGAACTGCTGCCCTCCTTGGGATTTTATAAAAATTCTTGATTTTTAACATCCGAGGCTGCACATTTAAATTTTTTTGAAATAAACCAAAAAGGCAGCTGCCACGGGGATTCAAATTAAATTAAGATGATTCTGTTGCTACATAAGCGATGCTTTAAACGTAGGATTCTGTCTCTTCATACTTCAGTTTTCATTCCAAAAAATGCTCATTCTTTTAGGGGAAAAAAATCTCAACTTTTCTATAACTGGTGAAAGGAAAATGGTAAGGTCCCTTCTCAAAAAACAAAACAAAACAGCCCCAAAATGTTGAAACAAAATCAGCACAATGGACAAGCAACTTACAAAGTGCGCGCAAGTTTTTATGTAAACGGCCACAGATTCTATTGGTTGCAGTTGTTGAAGTTTTATAGAAAAGCACTTAATGCAACGGGAAAACCGAAGCCCTTCATACTAATTCTTCAATTGGGGTTCAAATTCCCATCCTCCCCTCCGCACCCAGGGGACTCTAAGGCAGGGGTGGGAGGTTCCAGATCAGCAGAATCTGAGTTGTTTTTCTTTGATTTCTTTCCACAATTCCAGTTTTGATTCTGACCCTGAGATCATGCAACAGAAAACACGTGCAAACTAGGGATGCAAGTCTGCTAAGAATTAAGGACCTGGGTGCCTCTGAGCATATCCAGAGCTCAGGAACTTTTGATTCAGTACCAGAACCAATCACAAGCTCTTCCCGAAACGTGTTTACCCATTGCCAACGACAAACGCTTCCCTCTGCAAATTGTCCACTGCCAGCCCAAGACGGATCGGTCTTCTCTTGAAAAATTATATATATTTTAATGGATGAGAAGGACCGTCCCAGGCTAGATTGCAGAACAAACATTTGGTTGAGCCAAAATCTTCTGCAGGTCTAGAGCGGGTCAGTGTAGGCTGGCTTTGGGGGAAATACAGAGGTCATCAAGCCGGACAAGAAATGATGGTGGGGGGGTCTCTCCAGAGGAAACAGCCCTAGAATCTCGGTTGCTTCCTTGGTGCTGCCCTCGTGTGGCAAAAGGTGGCATAAGCAGGGAGAAGCCATTTTCAGGAGGGCATGGCTTGGTCAACGCACCATCAGCAAAAATATTTGTTTACTTTATTTATTAGACTTCTGTGTGCATACAGGTAGTCCTCGACTTACGACCAGAATTGAGCCCCAAATTTCTGTTGCAAAGCGAGACATTTGTTAAGTGAATTTTGCCCCATTTTATGACCTTTCTTGGCCACAGATGTTAAGGGAACCGCTGGACTTAAGTTAGTCACATGGTGGTTAAGGGAAATTGGCCTCCCCCTTGATTTTACTTGCTAGAAGGCCGTAAAAGGGGATCATGTGACTCCGGGATGCTGCGACCGTCATAAATACGAGTCGGTTGCCAAGCGTCTGAATTTGGATCACGTGACCCTGGGGACGTCGCAGCGGTCGTAACTGAAAAATGGTCCTAAATCCCTTTTTTCAGTGCCACTGTCACTTCAAATGGTCACTAAGCGAGGACTACCAGTAATTTCATTTCTAACACTGCATATTCCTGAGCTGGCCCTGCCGTTTCTTGGTCACCAAACCAAACGTTTCTGCGTCAATCAAATCAAATCAAAGGCAGAGCTGGAATCTAATGCTGTCCTTTACAGCTTTCTGTCCCAGGCAACATTTTTCTTTTTCTTTTTCTAGTGGGCCAGGAAAAATCCCACTGGACTGACACCAGAAAAAAGAAAAGAAAAAAGGATTAAGCATTTATGTAGGGAAAGGACCTGCCTTTTATCCCCATTCAGACAACCCTAGTGCAGTTTTATTTCTTTCCCATCTTCCTTTTTTCCCCAAATCAGCTTCTCTTTTTTTGCCCGAAAAAAAAAAAAAGACAAATTTCTTTGAAATCCGGCTCTCCCTTTGCATTTTTTTTCTTCCAGTCTCTTGGTCATTTCCGTTCCAGTCAGATCCAACAGTTCTGTCTCTTGTTCTCGATGCCAATAATAATAATAATAATAATAACAATAACAATAACAATAACTATAAAAATAGCAGCAAGAATAAATATTAAATATCTTCCTTTAAAAAAGGAGTCTTTCTTATAATACTCCAGTGATTTCAAAAATAATCATTAGCACATCGTTGACCGCTCCAGGAGTCCATACAGTGTGCGCAATCTGTAAACATTCCTTTAGCTGAAAAGAATTAAAATAAAATAGTGGACAGAGGCCAGATTCCGAGGCTCGGCAGGTGGATCTTCTTTAGACCTGGAAAAGAGCAGGAAAGAAATTAAAACATCCCACTATGGCAAAACATAGAAGAGCAGAGTTGGAAGGGACCTTGGAGGTCTTCTAGTCCAGCCCTCCTGCTCAAGCAGGAGGCCCTCTACC